AGGAGGGGGTATTGTTTACCTTCAACTTATTTCCAATTTATGGCAATCCTAAGGTGAATCCATCATGGAGTTTTCTTGGCAAGATTTGTTCAGAGGAGTTTGCCTTCACATTCCTCTGTGGCTGAGAGTGTGTAGCTTGCCCAAGGTCAATATGTGAGATTCCCTGGCCAAGCAGAGATTTGAACCCTAGTCTCCCAGAGTCCTAATCCAATATTCAAACCACTGCACCACACTGGCTCTATTGGGAGGGTGCTACTGACCATTTCATTGCCACTTTCATAACCTCCAATACTTCATAGATAAAAATTGGGACATGTGTGACCAGACAAGAAAGCCAGCATGGCGTAGTGGTTTGAGTGTTGGACTATGACTCTGGGGACCAGGGTTCAAATTCTGGCTCAGCCATGTAAATCCACTGGGCAAGTCACATTATCTCAGCCTCAGAGGAAGGTAATAGCAAACCTCCTCTGAACAAACTTTGCCAAGAAAACCCTGCCATAAGATCACCTTAGTGTCACTGTAAGTCAAAAAGGACTTGAAGGCTCCTAACAACAACATGGCCAAACAGCACCAGCAGTTTGTTTTTGCCTGAGCCTACTGGAAAGGATACCTCTTCTCCCTACTGCTGAATTTGAAGCAAGCTGAGGGTAAAGGGGGAAAGTTGGAAGAGGAAAGAGAAATGGGCATTTTCAGAACAAAGGAAAAAGTGACACAGAGGTTTAATTGGGACTCTTCCTACCAAATAAGGGCAACTTCAGGTTATGCATTTTAGGGCATTTTCAGAGCTTTTCTCTTTTTCTAGTATGTACAGGACTTTTTTCAAAACAGCAAGCAAAGAAGACACTTTCTGTTTTGAAGAAAAAAAGGATCCTAGAGGCCCCAAACATGCCAACAATTGCAGTAAAATAATCCATGGAGGTTTGAGTGGGAGACATTGAAGGCCCTTTGATGATATAAATTATATATATATATATATATATATATATATATATATATATATATATATATTTTACAATCAAAATACAACAATAGGTCCACCCATTCAAATTTCATAGCAATTAGCAACTTGATTACATATTGAAAAATGTTATGCTCTTGCAATGCTTTGTTGATGTAATCAATAAATGGAATCCATTTATCTTTGAAAGAATTGTGTGTGATATATCCTTTTATTTCCTCATTGTTGTATGTGAGCTTCTCCACTAGCTATGTATCCTAGATCTTCTTCCACCATCTTTGGATAGAGAACTGACCTGTCTTTCAGTTAGAAACTATTTCTACTCTTGTATTTATTAGGGAAAAAATTATGAGACTTTCGTGATTGAGATGCTTATCTGACCATTGTAAAATGGATATTGAGGACAAGTGAAAATTAGAACATACGGTGGGTCCTTATCATCCGCTGCGGTTTGGTAACAGGATAATAAAATCCTTGGATGCTCAAGTCCCATTAAATATGATGGCATAGTAAAATGGTGTCCCTTATATAAAATGGCAAAATCAAGGTTTGCTATTTGGAATGTATACATTTTAAAAGTATTTTCAAGCCGTAGATGCTTGAATCCCTGGATTAAAAAAAATCCATAGATAGAGAGGGCTGAGTGTACCTCAACTGCTTGCTTTGTAATAGTACCAATGATTTTCAGAACTTCAGACCAGAATTGGGCCACTACAGGGCACAATAACTACATATGGAGATAGGTGCTTTTGGATCTGCAGCCCCTCCACCAGCTGGGGATATAGTTTTGTTAATATGAGCCAATCAGACAGGTGTAAAATACCACTTGTAAATCAATTCAAGAGAGCATTCCTTGAACTTAGTCACACAAAATATGAATGGAGTTGATGTCCAAATGTTCAACCAGTTTGCATCTGGAGTCAGCTTCTCATCCTCATTTGTATTAAGCCTCTGTCCCTGTGCCTCATCTATTAACCATTTGCTAATATTTTGATGACTAGTTTCCCCCCTGCTTTTCATATTTTCAGGTGGGTTCTGGAGGAGGCTATTTCAGCTGTGTGGGGGTGGCCCTTCCTATCCGTCACTTGCCCATCCCTGCAGTAGGGCCATTAAAATCAAAACAACAACAACAACAATTTTAGTCATGATTAACGTAAAGTTTATTTCAAAGGCTCCCACTTAAGTCTGGATCTAGCTGTCAGTCAGCATCATACCAGCCATTGAAATGAAACTGAAAGTTGGCTGAGTGTTTTGGGGAGTTTTGGTCCATAAAGAGTAATGTTTCCAGGCTCTGACTGTATCGTACGCAGATAAAACACTGGATCTGAAGAGATTAGCAACCTCACTACAAGTTCAGTGAATGTCATGGTGTGTGGGTGGAGGGCAATGCTAACACTAATGGCATTTACTCTTCTCTGCTCTCCTCTGAGGGCGTTTTCACACAGGGCTTTAGGCGGACACTAGCCTACTTCCGTCCGGCCCCACTCCGGCTCCTTTGAAAATTTTTCAGACGACGTCACAGCAAGCCCCACCCCATCCAGCACCATCCCCGGCGCTAGCCGGCATCGGTCCGGGGTCTTGCTCTGTGTGTTCACACGACGTCGCAGCAAGCCCCGCCCCATTTAGCGCTAACTCCGGACGCCCACCAGCATAAGCCCCGGAGTTGTAATTCCTTTTTAAAAAAGGAATTAGGTTGCCGCCGCCGGAGCCATTCCGGAGTGAGCTGAAGGATCCGTTCCGGAATGACTCCAGGCTTGTGTGTGAAAACGTCCTGAGGGAGAATTGGTATTTTCAAGCTTCTAGAAATAATGTATATTATAAATGAATTGAGATTGGAAATAATTTCCAAAAAGAGGGAAAGAACCTTTAGCTTAAAGCAACAAGTTAAGATGGGAGCAACGCCACCACTCCCAGCAAAGAAATATGGACAACAGGTCAAATCTCACCCAGGGCCCTATATACCACCAATGCTAACTCAAAACAGGAGCAACAATTAATATCTCATGCTGGCTCCCAGCTTCCTCACTCTCAGTTAGGGGACATCTGACATCCAGCAGCTCAAGATGCTCGTGAAGACTATAGGTAGATTTTAATAAGCCCACTTTGAATGTTGAGGACTTCTGCTCTGGGGAAAAGCAAGTCACTGTCTAAAGTGCTGCTAGCCTATAGAAATGAAATCCAGGTATTAGCCATCATCTCCTCCTTCCCCCTAAAATTTAATAAATATATTTAGGGGGAGGATATATATTTTAAAATATAGTTATAAATATATTTATCTTCAAGGGGACTTACAAATTATTAAAACCATACAGATTTAAAATTATTAAAATTACTAAAAACTGTACAGATTTCAAACCATGCCAAAAATCTGTTTTTGTGTATGTGCATATGTATGTGTGTGCGTCTTGCTTAAAAACCAATTAATTTATGAAGTTAAAACCATTTAAAATTCATTAAAAGGCCATATTTTAAAAGAACAAACAGCACAGCTCACCATTCAAAACTCATCACAGCCAATTCCTAAAAGCCTGACAGAATAGGAAAGTATTTACTTGCAGGCAGAATAACAAGAAGGACAAGAAGCTACTGTCAGGACAGAATACGGAGAAACAGAATGGTTCCCAATTGGCAAAGGAGTCAGACAAGGCTCCATCCTATTAACCTATGTGTTCAACTTGTATGCAGAACATATTGTAAGGAAAGCAGGGTTGGATACGGAAGAGGGAAGAGTGAAAATAGGAGGAAGAAATATCAACAATCTGAGATATGCTGATGACACCATAAGACTAGCAGAGAGCCTCACAGACCTGGAACATCTACTAAAGAAGATCAAAGAAGAAAGTGCAAAGGTAGGTTTACTGTTGAACATAAAGAAAACAAAAATAATGATCACCAAGGACCTCCACAAGTTCAACCTTGACAATGAGGAAATAGAAATAGTAAAAGAGTTCTTATATCTGAGATCAAACATTGATCGGAATGGGGACTGCAGCCAGGAAATCAGAAGATTAAGAATGGGGAGGGCAGCTATGAAAGAACTAGGAAAGATTCTAAAATGCAAAGACATACAAGTCAGCACAGAAGTCAGAATCATACAAGCCATCGTATTCCCTATTACCATGTATGGATGTGAGAGCTGGATAGTCAAGAAAGATGATAGGAAGAAAATCAATGCATCTGAGAGAATGTGGTGCTGGAGAAGAGTGCTGAGGATCCCATGGGCAGCCAAAAGGACAAACAAATGGGTCCTAGAGCAGATCAAGTCAGAGATATCCCTAGAAGCCACGATGACAAGACTTAGACTGCCGTACTTTGGACACATCATGAGAGGGCATGAATGTTTGGAAAAGACAATAATGTTAGGAAAAGTGAAGTAGAAAGAGAGGAAGGCTACATGCTAGATGGATGGACTTTATTAAAGAGAACATGAATATGAATTTGTAGGAGCTGGGCAGAGCAGTAGAGGACAGGGGCTTGGAGATTTCTCATCCATAGGGTCACCATGGGTCGAGATAGATGGGAAAGCAGTTAACAACAATAGCAGCCATCCTAGCCTCCCTAGGGAGGGAAGTCTTGAAGTAGCCACCAAGAAGGCCCTCTCTCTCATTTCTACCAAATGGGACTTGAAAAGGTAGTGGGGCAGAGAAAAGGTCCTCTTCCAAAAATCTTAAGAGATTGAACAGGCTCATATAAATCCTCATATGAGTCTGTTCAACCGCTAAGATTTTTGGGAAACTTCCTTCAAATAGCCTGGAGGACAGGGAGGCCTGGAGTTGTCTCATCCATAGGGTCACCATGGATTGAGACTGGTGTGAAGGCAGTTAACAAAAACAACAAAATAGCTTGGATTTGAGCCTTATAGGACTTTATACATCATAACCACCACTTTAAACAGTGCCTGGAAAGAGACCAGTAACCAGCAGAGCTGGGATTTGTCTGCTTTCTGTAGCCAGCCTCAGTTAGCACTCTGGCTAAAGTTATTTGGGCCAAATGATTTTTCCGAGCACTTTTTAAAGGTGGTTCCATTGCAGTAATCCAAACAGGATTCTTCAAGTCAGTTTAGAAAGTCTGATGATACATTTACAATACTCTCCACGTATGTCAACATCACAAAATTAAACTCTCTTTAGTTTACAACAGAGAATTAAACAGAGAAAATTGAGGGACGAGTATCAACCCCTCTTTCCTTAGGATAAATACCTCACACAAACTTGAAACCCTAGGATTCCTTCAGGTGGAACCAGGAGAAATAATTGATCTGAAACAGATATCACTATGT